CAATATTCACTAAATGATATTGTGGCCAAGTTTTGTATAATTCATAGGAAGAACACTGGTTTGAATTTTTACAATTACATTAAAACCGCTAAAATGTAATATATATTATTTTGGTAAACTTATTATCAAATTCCATGAGTGCCACAATTGTCTAGTGTTCAATATTATATCTTGAGGTTAGGGGTTCGAATACTCTCCCTTATTTCCTTTGGTTTTGGCAAAAATTGTAGAATTTAAAATATTTCACAATAAAATTGTTAGGAAATGGATTCGAAACAGTGACCTCTCATGTAAAAATAAAGGTTCTTGTCAGTTGAGTTACAAGAAATGTATGGAAAATAGGGAACTTACCAGGTATATAATCTCAAATGTTAATTCACTGTAAAAAAAAAAAAAAAATGTTCCGGCGGGTCCAGCACAGGCGGCCGCCGAGGCTCTCTGGGTGCTGGGTCCGCCCCTGTAAACACACGAATGCATATAATTGTATAATGTGTGTGTATGTAGTATGTGTTCTGTTTATAATTTCTCAAGGACCTTCGGAGTTAGTTGGTTGAACACTATAGTTTTAGTTTAGTGCGTGTCGATCAATGCGCAGTTTCTGTTTCAATGCTTCAAAATAGGAATGGCTTCTGCTTCTTCAATGTCAGGTAAGTGTTGTTTTGGCTCTTGATTTTCGGCGTTTGTCATGTATATGATATTATCTGGTAAAATGTCGAATGTGTAAGTGGATCCTTGTGGGTGTTGACATGTCAGTAGAATGCTTGAATACATACAAGGCTTGGAAAGGGGATGCAAGCGGTAGATACGATGACAGTGTACTTTCATGTGCTTCGAAGGCTCCAAGAACGCTCACTGGATTTCTCGCTAGCACCGTGCACCTCCTCAAGCTTTTTGACAGGCTTCAACGAGAATTCGCAACTGACCAGTAAGAATTTGGGATTTACTACGTTGGAGTTCACATAAAAAAAATTAAGGATGTGCTAGCTAGAGATTATTGGAGCATTGTGACTGAAAAAATTTAAAGGGATGCAGTGTAGGAGTTGTAAGATTATTTTGTTGGACTTCCAGTTTTGATCAACTAAATCTTTTTAGACGCAGTGGAGGGAACTTTATTGGAATAGTTCATTTATTTGCTAATAATTATACGTTCAATAGCTTCTCAATATCTTCTATGCTGTATGGACATGATTTCAAAAAGTGGCAGATGTCTCAGCAACGAGGAAGTTAAAGTGGCAGTAGGCAAAGAACTACTGGGTACCAAGGCCAATTAGCACTAACAGACAGTGATACCGATTATTTGTAAATTGTATCCTTGTATGCATCTCTAGTTTTATGATCTTATAGAAAGGCTGCAAGTTCTTCAGTAGCCATGGATCTTTGAGAGAATCATGGTCAAGAACACAATGAGGCTGAGCTTGACGAAGGACAAACCAAAGAACCAGGTACATGAAAACCACGACAGGGCTGAGAGTGCCCCTATTAGTATTCTCCGCCTGGATGAGTATGTGTGTTGATTATTGTGTGTTTCAGCAAGTTCCACCATATAAGTCATCTTTGAATTGCCTTTGCCATCAATAGACAATTCTTCTCCTACACACTCTGCATTGGATTCTGTGGAGGAATTCCCTGTTCCTACTGAACTCTCTTCAATTGTATTGGTAAGATCTTCTTCATCCAAATCATCTCTGTCATTGTCTTCACCCTTCTCTTCGTCTTTGCTCATTTGCATAATTGGATCATATTCTGATGTGTCAATTCCTGCACAAATTGTTTCTGATGCTTCCTCAATTTCCTTTTCAGCATTTTCAATTTCTTTCTGTTGACAGACTACTAATTCCAGCGTGCTGTTTTCTTTCATCTCCTGATTTGCAGAAGTTCCCGCATTTGTTACATTAACTCCAATATCTTCAGTTGAAAGCTGCTCGTTCGTAGAGTCTTTGTCAGTAGCAATTCCAGCCATAATTTTGGACGGATAGCGGAGAATTGGAAAGGAGAAGGTTTGCACATCCTTCACATAATCTTCACATCGACCATTTTCAGCATTTTGTTCATCATCATTATGAGATAGTTTTTGCTCACAATCTTGGATTCCTGCGTCAGGATAATCACATTCGTCTTGTTCAAGCAATTGCACTTCTGCATTGTGAATGCCCTCATCTACTTGAGCTGTCTCAATAGCTTCATTTCTCTCACTTTTTTGAACAGTTTCAATGGGCAGTGAACCTTCTTTGTTGTCACAGTTTACATTTTCATGTTCGATAATAGGTCGACTGTCAAAAACAGACAGTAATTCTTTCCTATCTTCACCGTAATTCTCCAAAACTGTAGTAACTGGCATGGAACTACCCGTGCTGATAATTTCTTGATCATGACAAGTTTTAGTTTTCTCTTCACTAAATTGCATCTCAACAGCACTCTGTTTTCCTTCAATATTCTCTTGCATATTTTGGTTATCTTCTGCCATGATTTTATCAATATAAGCACCGTCAATGGCACCATCTCCTTTGGCCAACTCGATTTCTACTTCATTTTTGTGAATTTTGTAATTCGACTCGGGTTCAAAAAGCAATTTATCATCAAATGTTGGCAGATGGAATTCTTCCTTAATAACAGTCACAGAGCCATCAGCAATAGGCTTCTCATTCTGAATTAGGAAATAAAGCTATGAGAATTCTGATATATAAAAGTGTTTAGATCATTGAAAACGTTCCATAATTTTACTTTTCTCTTGCAACCAACTTGATGGAGTTCGACAAAATTGGAATGACACCCAGAAGATTGCAAAGGATATGCAGAAATCAAGAATGGGTCCATGTTTATTTTTTTAAAAAGAAAACCTTGGTCAGCACATCCCAGAAAGATTAGCAATCAGCATCCGTTTTGTTAACAGGGTGATATGGAAGAACATATCAACATAAAGAAGGCAAGAATTAAAATAGAATTACCAATATCGAGTACTCGGTAAAGACAAATGAAGCAGAAATATCCTCGCTCTCATCCACATCTGCTCCTCCTGTGCTGAAAAGTTAATTCAATTTGATAAACAAATTGGTGGTGATAATATTTTATGAAAAAATCAATTAAATAGAAATAATTTCATCTACCATGGATTTTTCTTTTCCGACGGATGTGTATGAGGAAGAATAAACTGTATTTCTTTGCTAGCATTGTCTTGACCATTCTCATTCGCAGGGAGTTCTGTTGGCCAGGAGAAGGTTAGCACGTCCTTGACATAATCTTCATATTGACTGTTTTCAGCATTTTGTTCATCGTCATTACAAGAGATTTGTTCATAATCTTGAACAATTTCTGCATCAGGATGATCACATCCTTGTTTAACCAATTGCATTTTTGATTTGTGAATGCTGTCATCTACTTGAGCTGTCTCAATGGCTCCATTTCCTTCAATTTTTTCAACAGTTTCAATTGGCAGAGAGCTTTCTTTATAGTCGCTGTTTGTGTTTTCATTTTCGATAATGGGCCGACTGTCAATAAGTGGCAGCAATAATTCTCGCCCACCTTCACCATAAATCGTAGCAATATTTCCTGGCATAGAACTACACGTGCATATTATTTTATCTTCATAACAAAAATTCTTAGTCTCATCTTCTTCTTCACTAAATTGCATCTCTACAGCATTCTCTTTTGCTTCAATATTCTCTTGCATTTCTTGGTTATTTTCTACCATGATTTTATCAATATGAACACCCTCAATGGCATCATCATCCTTGGTTAACTTGATTTCTTCTTCACGATTCTGCATTTTATCCTTGAGCTCAGGTTTAAGAGGCAATTTATCATCAAATGTTGGCAGATGGAACTCTTCCTTAATAGAAGTCACAGAGCCATCAGCAATAGGCATCTCATTCTGAATCAAGAAATTTAAGGTATGAGGATTCTTACTTATAAAAGTGTTTAGCTCAGTGGAAATGTTCCATATATTTACTTCTCTCTGGCAACTATCTTGATCGACTCTGATAAAATTGGAACACTAGAGAGTAGATTGCACGAGATATGTAGAAAACGAGAACTGGTCCTTTGTTTATTTTAAAAAAATAAAAAATACTAGATCAATTACATCCAAGAAATATTAAAAATCAGCATCTATCTTCTTCACAGGGTGACATGGAAGAACTTATTAACATAAAGAAAAAAGTATTAAAATAGAATTACCAATTTCAAGTTCTCGGAGAAGACACGTGAAGCAGAATCAGCCTCGACAACCATATCAGCTGCTCCTGTGCTGAAAATTCAATGTACTTCGATAAACAAATGATAGTGATATATTATTTATGGAAAAAATCAATTACATAGAAATAATTTCATCTACCATGGACGAGGAATTAACTGTATCTCTTTGCTTGCATTTACTTGATCATTCTCCTCGTTTAATGTCTCAGGAAGTTCTGTTGGAAAGGATAAGGTTTGCACGTCCTTGAGATAATCTTCACATTGGCTGTTTTCAACATTTTGTTCGTCATCGTTACAGGAGATTTCTTGTTCATAATCTTGAACAATTACTGCATCAGGATAATCACTTTCTTTAACCAAATGCATTTTTGATTTGAGAATGCTGTCATCTACTTGAGCTGTCTCAATAGCTCCATTTCCTTCAACTTTTTCGACATTTGCAATCAGCAGAGAGTTTTCTTTCTTGTTACTATTTGTGCTTTCGTGTTCATTAATAAGTTGATAGTTGAAAACTGGCGGTACTAATTCTTGACCACATTCACCATAATTCTCCGTAACAATATTTCCGGGCATGGAACCACGCGTGGTTATAATAATTTCTTGATCAAGACAATTCTTAGTCTTCTCTTCTTCACAAAATTGCATCTCTACAGCATTCATTTTCCACTCAATATTCTCTTGCACCTCTTGGTTATTTTCTGCTACGATTTTATCAATATGAACACCCTCAATGGCTTCATCATCCATGGTTAACTCGATCTCTACTTCAGGATTTTGTGTTTTGTCCTTCAACTCCGGTTCAAGAAGCAATTTATCGTCAAATGTTGGCAAATGGAATTCTTCCTTATTAACAACAGTAACAGAGTCCTCAGTATTGGCACTGCTTTCCAGTTTTTTAGTATTATCAGAGCAGCAAACCTCTTTTTCCTTATACGCAGGACCTCCTGTTCCACCATTAATTTCAAGCATGGGCTTTTCATCCTGAATCAGCAAATTTAAGGTATGAGGATTCTGATATATGAAAACATTGAAAAGCTGTTAGCTCAATTAAAATGTTGCATAAATTTTACTTTTATAGTAATATGTTGTTGGTCACCAAACCCGGGGCAAAATTTCAAGTTGTTGCTAAATTCATTTTCTTTCAAAATGGTTATCGAATCTAAATTTTGATGCAATTCGATTAATCATTAGTATCACTAATGGAAAATTTGATGGGCAGTCTAGCTATTGCCAACTAAGCTGCAACGTCAACTTTTTCGTTAATCAAACTAATAAACGTGGCTGGGATGATCAAATGGTAACAAAATTTTAAGTTACCGACTAGAAATTTCACTAAAAATTAAGTGTCCACGTGTGCTTTTAGCCCTTCCCTTTTCTCTTGCAAGCCAACTTGATCGAGTACATGCCTCTCTTTCGGGATATCCTATAAAACTGGAACGATACAGAAGCATGCACAAATCAAGAAATGACCAATTGTTTTAGGAGAAGGGGAAAGAAGAAAACTTGATCAAGTTTTTCCAAGAAATATTGGCTATCAACATCTATTTATTGTCCACAGTATGATATGTAATATCATTAACATAAAGAAGGCAAGAATTTGAAATAGGATTACCAATTTGAAGTTCTCAGTAAAGAGAAATGAAGCAGAATCATCCTTCATCACGTCCATATCTGGTGTTCTATTGCTGAAAATTCAATTCAATCAAATCCATTAATATAAAATTATAGTACAGACTTCATTAAACAAATTGATGATTATTATAATTCATGGAAAAAGTAGAAATAATTTCACATACCATTGATGGTTCTTTACAGACAGAGGTGTATTAGGAAGAATAAATTCTCTCTCTGCGCTTGCATTATCTTGATCATTCTCCTTGTTTAATGTCTTAGGGAATTCAGTTTGTAGACTCTGCTCCACCTCCTGGTGGCTGTGATGGTTCTTGCCAGATTTCTGCCCCTTTTTCCTGACTATGAGGGCCGACGCTATAGCGGCAGCAGCAGCCAAGGCGGCTAAACCCAACAAAACCACTGCTCCAGTGCCGCCTCCGGCTTTGCCTATTTTAATTGTCATCTTCTTTTCTTGCTCACGGTATGTCTTTTTGGACTCCTCCATATTCCTGGGATTTCAACCTCTGGCGTGTTTCTCAATGCATTCTTTCATCTTTTCGGGGTTTCCAATGTTGTGTTAGAGATAAAGTGTAGTGAAAGAAGATGGTACTAACCTATGACTGCAAAACAGTAGGCGAGGTTGAAGCCACATTTCATTTCACAAACAATTTATTTATTTAATTTTATGTGTCTTATACAAAAATATTACCTACACTTCAGGGAAACAGAAGTTTGTCATCAGCTGATGACTCGCGTGACACGCGAGGAGCAAATAATTATAAAACTAAAACTAACAGTACTAAAGAATAGGTTAACATGCTCATGCAAGGCTTGTGGTGGGTTAACAAACCCCACAATAATTGGCAAATTCTTTGTTACCGCGTTTGATATGTTGACATGTATCGGACGTGTTGCAAAGTTAAGCGTTGTGGGGATAGATCTAGAACTCGATAGTCATAGTGGGCTAAAATAGAAACTTATAGCATGTCTGCTAAAAAAAAATTTTCACCTTATAATCAATTTTTGTACCCTTTTTACTCAAATTTGCGGGGCCCACATCTCACAACTAAGGTCAATATTTGCG